CACTTTTGTAGCATTTCAACATTCAGCAAAGAAGAGGAGGAGGAGAATTTATACCCCGCCCTTCACAACCCGAAGGAGTCTCAGAGCGGCTGACAAACTCCTTTCCCTTCCCCTCCCCACAACAGACACCCTGTGAGCAATCTTCCCTCTAAGCTGTGGAATCTTGTGAGCAAAAATTCTACTTAGTGAGCTACTGGCAGTAAATTTGTGAGTGAGGGATTTGGCTACTGCCTAAATTAGTTTGCTCTGGAGCCCTCCTTCCTGAGCGGAGACAAAAATGTGTGAGCTGGAGGCTAAAAAACTCTGAGCTCGCTCACGCTAACTCAGCTTAGAGGGAACACTGGAGCCGACCAGTGCTTAAGGCTCGAGGTGGCTGAAATTTCCTTTTTTGTGTGTGTGTGTGATTAAAATATAAAGTTTTTACTAAATTCTAGCATGGGAAGGGTAACTGGGATGAAAATAACAACAGAGCTAAATCGGCTACATCCTTACTCTACAAAGACAAAACTAGAAGAGAGAGATTATGGGTGCTCTTCTTCTTCTTCAGAACACCAAACAAAGACGGAAAGAGAAGCCATAAAATGGTAATACACCTTGACACTTTAGTCCCAATCAAATTCCTAGATCAGGGAGAAAATTCCCGGGCTTTCTACAGCTAAAGAACATTGGTTACATGAGAAACATGTGACTTCCTGTGAGTAACATAAACAAAAACATTTAACCCCAGATATACTGAGTGTTTTCAGCTTGTAATACCCAACACCTGGCACAACAAAAGAAGCAACGAACAGAAAGTGGCTGACCATGGAAGGAAACTTGGAATCCTGAGGAAAAGACTGGAAATCTTCCCTGTCTTCCCCTAAAAAAATCTGGGAACACCAACGCTCCATAGTTCAGAAACTTGGGTTGCTTCCAAACAGCAGCAATTGCCTGTTTTGGTCTCACTGCAACAATTAATCTTCCACGTGGGCAGATTCAATGCTCCCTCTAAGCTGTTGGAATCTTGTGAGCCGAAATTCTACTGTGAGCTACCGGCGTGAGCGAGCAATTTGGCTGTTTCATAAATTAGTTTGCTCTCGGGCCCTCTTTCCTGAGCCGAGACAAAAATGTGTGAGCCGGAGGCTAAAAAACTGTGACCTCGCTCACACTGACTCAGCTTTTAGAGGGAACACTGGCTGCCACCCCAGTGGAAGGATCTGCAGTGTCACCGAAGGTGAGCTGCAAATGAAAAGGTGGAAACTCTCCAAAAACGTTTTTAATCACAAGTCATGAAACTTACAGGAATATATTGAATATACTGAATATGTAAACACATACAGCACTTCAGAACAACATAATGCACATCATAGTCACACGAACCACAGAATAAAGCTTCTTAAAGTAATACAATCAAAAATAGACCACAAGCACAAGCCCTCCTAGGGCCAAGAACAGTCCATAGAAAATACAGTCCAGTATACCCCGACGGTATTGTACGTAATATTAAGGCCATCTCGAAGAAAATCCTTCATCAAAGGGGATAGTGAGTCAAGGCAGGTACCTGTGGATGGAAATACAAAAATCCAAAGAAACTACAACTCCTTGCAAAGAAAATATTTTAAAGGAGGTGATCCAGGAGGACGCAGCAGGCATAGTCAGCTTTAGGAGTGGATTAGTTGTAATCAGGGGTTATTTCGTAGAAAAAGAGGTACAGGAGCTCATTGGCATAACTTCTTAGCACAACTAATTTGCATATGCCACACCCCCTGACATCACTGGAAGTGTGTCAGAAGGCAACGCCCACCCGTCAGGCTCCACTGGACTGTTTTGGATTGCTAGCTATTGGGGGGGGGGACGTGCAGATCTGTCCTCGCAGAGGAGGGAGAGCTTGTACCTGAATAAAACTTGGTCTTAAAGGTGCCACTGGACTGTTTTGGACTGGGGCCCCCGGGGGTGAGAGCTCTGCACCTTACCTGGCTGCTTCTTGCTCTGACTGAGGGCTGCTGGAAGCAGGGGGGTGGGGCTTGTTGCATGTGCCCGCCCCCTGGGCTCTTTACTGCTGGAGCTCCGCTCCTGTGTGCTCCTGCAGGAAATGACCCCTGGTTGTAATATGGGAACGATATGTTGGGGTTGTTGTAAGGGTCACTGCGTGGGAAGTACTCAGTTCCAAAAGTGTTGCACAGATGCTTGTCATTTATTTAATGAGCACTGAGATCTGCCGACACCCCTGTTTTTCGTTAAAATCCCACGTGAGGATTTTGTAACTCCAGAGCACTGCACGGTCCATTTTAAGCACCGCTTACCTACTCCGTCTTGCTTGCGTCGGCCCATCTGAGTCTCAGCACGCTTCCCTTCCTGCCCAGTGCTCTTCCTTCTTCCCCGTTCCCTTAGTTTTTTTTATCTGTGGAGCAGGGTGGGGCACCCTAACTTTCCCACAATGGACCTTCTTGGATTTAGAGTTCTGAAAAGTTATATTAAGAAATGAGGTTATGCTAACTGAGAGCCAGTTTGGTGTAGTGGTTAGGAGCGCGGACTGTAATCTGGGAGAACCTGGTTTGATTCCCCACTCCTCCATAAGCAGCTGCTGGTGTGACCTTGGGTCAGTCACAAGTTCTCTCTGAGCTGTTCTGGAAAGAGCAGTCCTCAAGAGAGCTGTCTGAGCCCCACCTACCTCACAGGGTGTCTGTTGTGGGGAGGGGAAGGGAAAGGAGTTTGTCAGCTGCTCTGAGACTCCTCTGGGTAGTGAAGGGAGGGGTATAAATCCAGCTTCTTCCTTCTCCTCCTCCTCCACCACCTCCACCATTCCAAAAGCAGCATCTGGTGGCAACGAATTCCCTAAATTAACTATCTTTTTTTTTTGAAGAAGTGTTTTCTTTTGTCTGCCCTGAGCCTATGGCCAGTCAGTTTGAGTGGGTGAGCCCATGTTCAAGAGACCTGTCACTGTTTCGACACTGCTCATGGTTTTATAGACCTTGATGGTATTTTCCTTTTCTCTTCCTTCCTCTTCCAGAGTGTCACATTCTTAACCAAGTTCCCTGGCCTGGTTTCTATTACATGTTGAACAACCTAAATTGCTTCCTTTCTACATCAGACGTTTTTATCTTCCTCTGTAGTCACAACGATAAGTTATTAACTTGCTTGGATCATCTTGTCACTGGAGAATTGTTCTTTTGAGATGAAAGTGGATTACCTGTTTTGTAAAGCTTTCCTGCTCCAGCAAAAAGTATACTCTTGTTTTTTGTTGTGATCGTAATAGTTAAAAGGCTATAACTAGGCCTGAGAGTATTCAGCGATGGTTCATCACGGAACGGCTGGATTCAGAATCTGGACAAACAGGACAGTCCCTTTGACAAAGAATAAATGGACATAAGTCTGACATTAGAAACCACAACATTCAAAACCCAGGGTGGGGATCATTTTAACCTTCCAAGACATTCAGTTGATGATCTAAGAGTAGCAGTTCTCTTACAAAGGAATTTCCAAGGGGGATTAGAAAGAGAGATTGCTGAATTGCAACTGATAATGAAGCTCAAGGCAATGCATCCTCCTGGACCGAATCGAGGCCTAGGTTTCCTGTCTCATTACCAATGCTGATTTCTCCATGCCTCCTGTCTCTCTGCATATCACACCTAGTCCAATCACGCCTGCTGCTGTTATTCACCTGCTATTGTCATTTGCCTGCTAATGTCATTCAGCATCTGAAATCACTCCACTTTCCAATAAATAAATGGATGGACTCCCATTCTAGCTGTATCTGAAGAAGTGAGCAGGGACTCACAGGAGCTCCTCTCCTGCCACAAATTTTGTTAGTCTTAAAGGTGTGGAGATAGTTACTGAAGAAGCACTTTGAAATCTCCTGTCAAAGTGCAACCTACAGCTCATACTCAGCAGATGCAAAAGCATTAGCTTCCTTCCCCTTTTTCGGCCCACCTCATAACGATTTCTTTCAGTTTTGGAAGGAAGGCTCCCCTGGCCACGGTGCACATTTTGAGCTTGAGGGGGGTCCGGTGCGGCCAGGGCAGTCTCACCCGCGTGTGCTTCTCGTGCAGGTGTGTTTCCGGCAGAAAGACTACTGGCAGTTTGTGAAGGACATCCGTTGGCTGAGCCCGCATGCCGCCCATCACGTGGAGAAGGTAAGGACGGAGAAAGACGCCGGGATTCAGGGCGGGGAGCTGCGAGCAAGCAGCTGGGAACGTGAGTGATTGTACGATCGGTCAGGTGAGCGAAGGCCAGTCACGTGCCTCTTTCTTGCAGAGAATCTGGAAGGCAAATCGTGCAAGGATTGCATCAGGGCTGAGCTATCTTGGCCTGTGAGGTTTGTTCCCATATCTCCAGTACAGGTGGCAGCCTCCAGGTGGGACCTGGAGACCAGTGTTCCCTCTAAGCTGAGTGAGTGCGAACTAGCTCACCGTTCTTTAGCCTCCGGCTCACACGTTTTTGTCTCAGCTCAGGAAGGGATGGCTCCAGAGCAAACTGATTTATGCAGTAGCCAAATCGCTTGCTCACAACTTTAATGCCAGCAGCTCACAAAGTAGAATTTTTGCTCACAAGACTCTACAGCTTAGAGGGAACATTGCTGGAGACCCCCCCCCCCCCCGGGAATTACAGCTCACTTCCAGACTACGGAGATCAGTTCCCCCGGAGAAAATGGCTGCTTTGGAGGGTGGACTCCGTGGCATTGGGCCCCAGTGAGATCCATGCCCTCCCCAGGCTCCACCCCCAAATCTCCAGGAGTTTCTCAGGCTGGATCTGGCAACCCTGCTCCTCCCATCCCCCACTAATGGCCGGGGGGGCGGGCCTGGTAACCCTAGTCTCCAACCTGAGACCCGTCAGAGCAGGCCCCTCTGCGATAACACACAGCCCAGCTTAACCTGGGTTTGGGCAGGGTTTGAACTCCCAGCAACACGCCATCGAGCAAAATAAAAGTTTTATTGGGTGGAAATTAAAGATTTTAAAGAAGAGAAGAAGAGTTTGGATTTATACCCTGCCCTTCACTACCCAAAGGTGTCTCAGAGCGGCTTACGATCTCCTTTCCCTGCCCCTCCCCACAACAGACACCCTGTGAGGTAGGTGAGGCCGAGAGAGCTCTTGACAGAAACTGCTCTTTTTCAAGAACAGCGCTTATCAGAACTACGGCTTGCCCAAGGTCATCCAGCCAGGTGCAAGTGGAGGAGTGGGGGAATCAAACCCGGTTCTCCCAGATTAGAGTCTGCGCACTTAACCATGACACGAAACTACTTAACCACTTAAGTCCGCACACTACCACTAAACCAAAGAAGGAGGAGGAGATTGGATTTATACCCCGCCCTTCACTACCCGAAGGTGTCTCAGAGCGGCTTACAATCTCCTTTCCCTTCCCCTCCCCACAACAGACACCCTGTGAGGTAGGTGGGGCTGAGAGAGCTCTTGACAGAAACTGCTCTTTTTCAAGAACAGCGCTTATCAGAACTACGGCTTGCCCAAGGTCATCCAGCCAGGTGCAAGTGAAGGAGTGGGGGAATCAAACCCGGTTCTCCCAGATTAGAGTCCGCCCACTTAACCACGACACCAAACTGGCCCTCAGTTTGCTCTGGAGCCTTTCTGAACGAAGCCAAAAAGGTGTGAGCCAGAGGCTAAAAAACTGTGAGCTAGCTCACGCTAAGTCAGCTTAGAGGGAACACTCTCCCTGACCCCAGAGTGGCCACCATCATTTCCCTGGGTGTGTAAGAAAGGGCCACGAGAACTAAGCACTGGTGCAGCCCTCCCTGCCCTCGGTATAAACCACAGTGCCTCTGTGTAGTTGGCAGTTTGGGAGGCGCCACTGGCCAGAGAGGCGTGTGCTGAACCCCGACGGTCATTGTGGCCCTGCTGCTCTCCGTCTGCCTCGTCTCGGAAGTGCCCGTTTGTCTTCCAGTTCATCCACCTGCACGAGAGCCGGCAACGGAACGCGGATGTCGTCAGCGACCGAGCCATCGCCGAGCTGTGGCTCCAGCACAGTCTGCAGTTCCACTGTCTGTCAGCTCAACTGAAGCCCCTCCTTGGGAACAAGCCGTACATCAGGAAATTCTATGCAGGTAAGATGGAACCAGCAGCCGAGGTGCCAGTCTCTTATGCCCAGGGGGTAAGTCTATCAGGGGCTACTAGCCATGGTGGCTGAGAGGCACCTCCAAGTTCAGAGGCAGTCAGCCTCTGACTCCTAGAGCCAGAAGGTAACATCAGGGGAAGGCCTCGGCCTCTCTGCCCTCCTGTTGGCCCTCCAGAGGAACTGGTTGGTTACTGTGTGAGACAGGATGCTGAACTAGATGGACCACTGGTCTGATCCAGCAGGGCTCTTCTGATGTTCTTTGGAAGGCCTCGGCCTCTGTACCCTGCTGTTGGCCCCCGAGAGGAACTGGTTGGCCACTGTGTGAGGCGGGAGGCTGGACTGGATGGACCACTGGTCTGATCCAGCAGGGCTCTTCTGATGTTCTCATGAAGGCCTCAGCCTCTATGCCCTGTTGTTGTCCCTGCAGAGGAACTGTTTGGCCACTGTGTGAGACAGAATGCTGGACTGGATGGACCAGTGGTCTGATCCAGCAGGGCTCTTCTGATGTTCTTACCAAGGTCTCGGCCTGTGTGCCCTGTTGTTGTCCCTCCAGAGGAACTGGTTGGCCACTGTGTGAGACAGGATGCTGGACTAGATGGACTATTGGTCTGATCCAGCAGGGCTCTTCTTATGTTCTCATTAAGGCCTCGGCCTCTATGCCCTGTTGTTGTCCCTTCAGTGGAACTGATTGGCCACTGTGTGAGACAGGATGCTACACTAGGTGGACCACGGGTCTGATCCAGCAGGGCTCTTCTTGTGTTCTTATGAAGGCCTCAGCCTCTCTGCCCTGTTGTTGGCCCTCCAGAGGAACTGGTTGGCCACTGTGTGAGACAGGATGCTGGACTAGAGGGACCACCCTAATACAGGACACTTATAAAATTCTTGTTCAGTGTTTCATGTTTTGTTAGGATCTTGTGTTTGTTGTTGCAGCCTGCCTTTGGGGACAGGTGAGGTGAGAATCGAAATAAGTATGTGGCTTGTAGTTTAGTC